GCCATTGTGGCCATTTGGGGAGTGAACCAATGGGTGGAAGACCTCTCTCTCTGTTTCTCTCAGTCTGTAACTCTGCCTCTCAAATAAATAAATAAGAATCTTTTTTAAAAAAGTTTTATAGGAAAATAATCTTTTAATTCCATTTTCCACGAAGTCTGTGAGGTACCCTCGTATTTTCCTGCTTCTTTGTATGCCTGACAATGTTTTCTTAGATGTTATACACTGTGAAGTGAAGATATTAAGTGCTGGGTTTCGTTGTACTCTTCTATATAGTATTGAACTCTGTTCTGTCCTGAGGTTAAATTAGCTGGCACCGGTTCTTCTCCTTTGAGGCTGGTGTACTGCTGGAGACAAGTTCTGGTGAGCATGTCTGCTTTATTAACGACCACACACGCTTCTTAAAGAGCAGGCAGAAGGGGTGTAACTAATTCAGGGCAACACTAATTCTACAGGATAGAATCCATATTGGCACCAATACGCTTCTCCAATCAGCTTGAAGGTCCCGGAGCTGGGCTAGCTTTCCAGGTGGTCCTAACCCTGGGCCACTCGGGGGAGCTGTTTACCTGATGCAATTACAGGGCCCTTTAACACGCAGCAGGGGTGGGGAACATGCCTGGGGTCCGCCACCAGCCAGTAGTCAGGCTGTGGGGTCCTTCCTGGGAGGCACGGTGTGCCACACCCTCTCACCCTTCTGCAAGGGGAGGGCAGCGGGCAGACCCCCGCCAGGCAGAGATCACCCACATCGGCCTACTTTTAAGCTCCCTAAGCTTTAGCCTCAGGCTAGCATATTCCCATTAAGTAGGTGATATCCTCCTTAGAACTATGCGAGGTCTCCCCAGTCTCACTGGTGAGAGTGTGACCTATTCTCAGCCATTTGTTCTTCACTCTTCCCTTGCCCTTGCCTACATATACACGTATCAGGAATTATCTGAAGACTCAAACGACAGTTCCCAGCAGACTGCTGGAGATCTCTCTTCTCCTCTCCCCTCTCCCCTCCCCTCCCTCTCTCCCCTCCCCTCCCTCTCTCCCCTCCCCCCCACCCCCTTTCTCCCTCTTCTCTGCTATTCCACCCTGCAAATTCAAGCTTTCCTGGCTTTCCCAGCCTCCCCCTGTTTGGCAGCTCAGAGTGAAGGAGGCTCCTACTCAGCCTGCCCGTGCTGACCTGGGCCTGCGGTCTGCCTCTGGGCAGGGAAGCAGCGCACTCCTGGGCCTCATCCTGCTTATTCCCCTTCTTCAGAACCCACCCTCGGATGTCCACTACCTCATGTCTGAACACAACGTAATAACTGAGGTCTCCATGATCCCACTCCTCTGAAGTCCACTGTGCCCAGCTTTATGGTTCAGTGATAGCTTATTTTTGTAAGAGCTCTGTGTGCTCTCTGTTTACACTTAGTGTAGACAATGATATATTCAGGTCTATATCTACCACTTTATTCTATGATTTATGTTCATCTTGCTTGATCTATGTTCTTTTTCCTCCCCTTTGTCCCCTTCTTCTGTATTGATTTTTTAGTATTCTTTTAACACAATTAGTTTGGAAGAGAAAAACAGCTAATAGAAAAGAAAGCCAATGAAATAAAAAGCTGGTACTGTATACAGATCAATAAACTTCAGGGGCTGGCCCTTGGCACAAGCAGTTAAGATACTGCTTGGGATGTCCCCTATGCCATTACCGGAGGGCCTGGTTCAAGCCCTGGCTTCACCCTCTATTCCAGCTTCCTGCTAATGTGTACCCTGAGAGGCAGCAGGTGATGCCTCAGTACTCGGGTCCCTGCCACCCAAATCAGAGATTCAAATCGAGTTCTTGGACTGGCCCGGCTCCAGCTGTTGTGGGCATCTGCGAAGTGAATGGGTAGATGGGAGACCTCTCTCTGTCTCTTTCTTCCTCTGTCTCTCTGCTTTTCAAAAAAAATTAAATAAATACTTAAAAAATTTTAAGTTTACAAATCACTAGACAAACTTCCTAGGAATAAAAGAAGATAGAATTTACCAAAACCAGATTGAAAGAAGAAACATCACTGAAGATTCTATAGACATTAAAAAGAATTAAGGGGCAGGAGCTCTGGCACACTGGGGGAAGTGTCACTCACTTTGGATACCGCACTCCATAGCAGTCTGGGTCCATGTCCCAGCTCCACTCTCCCATGCCACCTGCCTGCTAATGTGCACACACCTGCCTGCTAATGAGGCAGCAGTGATGGATCAAGTGTTCGGGACCCTGCACACAGCCTGGCCCAACCCAGCTATTGTGGGCATTTGGGGAGTGAACAACAGATGGAAGCTCTCTCTCCGCCTCTCTGTATGTCCTTCTTTCTCCATTTCTCTCTCTCTTTCAAATTAAGTATGTTAATAAATAAATAAATAAATACAGTTTTAAAGGATAAGAGAATATTATGAACAACTTCATGACAAGTTCAATAATTTAGATGAAATGGACAAATTTCCTGAAAAATACAAACTACCAAAGCAGATTCCAGAAGACAAATAACCTGAGTAGCACCATAACTAATGTTTTAATGGAGTTAATCAAGCTAAAAAACCAAACACATAAAAAGGATAGCTTTAATAGTGAATTCAAATAAACACTGAAGGGAAAATTAGTAAAGATTCTACAAAAACTCTTTTAGAAAACAGAAGAGGAAGAAACTCTTCACAACTCATATGAGGTCAGCATTATCTAAAAACAAAGAGCAGGCAAAGACATCCTAAGAAGAAACTACAGATCAATGTTTAGTGACCCTAGGTAAAACTACTTAGCAAGTTTGTGTGTGTACACATAGCAAGGGATTTCTTCCCCATGAAACTGAATCGATGCGTTGGACCATACTGATATACTAAAAAGAAAAAACATGTGACAATCCACTGGATATAGAAATCCAATATCAAAATTCAATACGCATTCATGAAAAGAATCTCTCAGCAAACTAGGAATGGAAAGGAACTTCCTAAATCTGACAAAAGTCACCTATGAAAAATTTCCAGCCAACAACCAACTTAATGGTGAAAGTCTAAATGTTTCTCCTCTACCAGCAATCATTTTCATCATCCACATACAACAGTGCAAGAAGTCAGAAAACAGACAAATAAAAGGAAAACAGATTGAAAAGGAAAAAGCAAATCTTTTTTTGAAGGTGACATGATCAATCATATAGAAAATCCTAGAGAATCACCCATAAATATTCCTAAACTAATAAATGAATTTAACAAGATCATAAGAAATAAGGCCAATATATAAAAATCTACGTAATTTCTAAACACTGTCAACAAACAATACAAATACAACAGCATCAAAAAATATCATCTACTGGGGCCAGCGCCGTGGTGTGGTAGGCTAACCCTCTGCCTGCAGCAGAGGCACCCCATATGGATGCCAGTTCCTGTCTCGGCTGCTCTTCTCCTCATCCACCTCCCTGCTAATGGCCTGAGAAAGCAGTGGAAGATGGCCCAGAAACTCGGGCCCCTACCCCTGCTTGGGAGATCAGAAGGAAGCTCCTGGCTCCTGGCTTTGGATCAGCTCTGCACCAACCACTGCCGCAATTTGCAGAGTGAACCAGAAGATGGAAGATAGATTCTCATTCTCTCATTCTCTCATTCTCTCATTCATTCATATTCATTCATTCTCCCTCCCTCTCCCTCTCCCTCTCCCTCTCCCTCTCTCTCTCTCTCTCTCCCCTTCTCTGTGTCTGTAACTCCACCTCTCAAATAAATAAATAAAAATCTTTTAAAAAAATCATCTAGGCCGGCGCCGCGGCTCACTAGGCTAATCCTCCGCCTAGCGGTGCCGGCACACCGGGTTCTAGTCCCGGTCGGGGCGCCAGATTCTGTCCCGGTTGCCCCTCTTCCAGGCCAGCTCTCTGCTGTGGCAGAGAAAGATGGCCCAAGTGCTTGGGCCCCTGTACCCACAAGGGAGACCCAGATGAAGTTCCAGACTCCTGGCTTCAGCCTGGCCCAGCCATTTGGGAAGTGAACCAGTAGATGGAAGATCTCTCTGTCTTTCCCTCTTTCTGTAACTCTACTATTCAAATACAAATAATCTTTCTAAAAATGTATTTTAAAGGTAGAGAGTAGGGCCAGCACTATGGTATTGCGGGTAAAGCCACCGCCTGCAAGTCTAGCATCTCCTATGGACACCGGCTTGAGCCCAGGCTGCTCCACTTCTGATCCCTGCTAATGCAACTGGGAAAGTAACAGAAGATGGCCCAAATACTTGGAAACCCTGCACCCATGTGGAAGACCCAAAAGAAGCTCTTAGCTCCTGGCTTCAGATCGGTCCAGCTCTGGCCATGACAGCCATCTGGGGAGTGAACCAGTAGATGACAGATCACTGTCTCTCCCTCTCTAAATATATAACTCTAACTTTCAATCTCTAAACAAAAAAAGGAAAAAAGGCAGAGAAACAGAGGTCTTCCATCTGCTGGTTTACTCTCCAGATGCCTATCACAGCGGGGACTGGGCTGGCCCCAAGTTGGAATATAGGCACTCAAGCTAGTTCTCCCACATGGTGGCAGAGATCCAAGCACCTGAGCCATTGCCTGCTACCTGCCCGGGTGCACATTAGCAAGCAGTTGAAACCAGCGGGGCCAGGAAACAAACCCATGCACTCCTCCATGGGATGTGGGCATCTCATGCAGCATCTTTTTTTTTTTTTTTTTTAATTTGATAGGTAGAGCTATAGACAGTGAGAGAGAGAGAGAGAGAAAAAAAAAAAGGTCTTCCCTCCATTGGTTCACTCCCCAAATGGCCGCCACAGTCGGCACTGCACTAATCTGAAGCCGGGAGCCAGGTGCTTCTCCTGGTCTCCCATACAGGTGCAGGGCCCCAAGCACTTGGGCCATCCTCCACTGCCTTCCTGGGCCATAGCAGAGAGCTGGACTGGAAGAGGGGCAATCTAGACAGAACCGGCGCCCCAACCGGACTAGAACCCGGAGTACCGGCGCCGCAGGCGGAGGATTAGCCTAGTGAGCCGTGGCGCTGCCCCCCCTCCCCCCCCAATGCAGCATCTTAACCACAGTGCCAAATGCCCGCCCCAGGAAAAGCTTTAAACCACATACGGCAATTCTTACATCTTCACACCCTTTAACGAACAATTCTAAAGTCTTATGAAGATGAACAGCTTTTAATTTAAATGTTTCAAGCAACTGTCCATAATTTGCAATACCCAAGGTTCCCCGAGAGAAACACGCATCAGGAGCTTTTCATCTCAGAATAAAAGTGACTTACATCATTAGACTGAAACAAGCGGGTCATGGCAAAGAAAGCCTCTGTGGCTTCTGTAGTTCCAAAGTGTTCACCCTAAGCAAAATTTAAAATAACATTTCAGCTTAAAAATATATATACACATGTATACATATATAAAGGACCTTCTCTAGATTTACGTAAAACTTGTGAAACTCAGGGGAAAAATCTCTTTGTAAACATTCTGCCTCTTTCCAACTTTTCTGGCTTTCAATTTATAAACCTGCATGGCCATTTATCTGTCCACTCCTTGTTTAAAACCCTTCTCTATCACACGCCGTGCTTAAAGCTCTGGAGCAGGTTTCACACCTTGCGGCAGACACTGCTTTAACGTTCCTGAGTAACTGTGGCTTATGAGGGGTAAACCACTGCCAGCAAGCAGGCTCTCTCATCACAATGGCGTGTTTTTATCATACTGCCTGCCAGCAGAGACCTTACCTTACAGGTTCCTGTAGTCTAATGCCCAGCACGATGCCTGACGTTATCAGAAGACCCTAATAAATATTCAACCGTAAAGAACTTTCCATTAGGAATCCCAGCAAACATGGCGAAAGGGGATCCAACCAACAGGGCAGGAACTAGATTTGTCCTATGAAACAACGTGCAAGGGGCTGCAACAGACAACAGGATGCTGGCTCGAGCCCCTAAAATACGCTCCGTTCCAGAGCTTCACCAACTTCACCGAGCATAACAGAGCGTCTGGGGAGCAGCCCACACGCAGGTTCTGATCCAGTGCAGTCCTGGAAGCCTGAGATTTCACGTTTCCAACAAGCGCCCGGTGATGCGCATGCTGCTGATGTGGGAATCACGTTTCTGAGACGCAAAAACAGATCGTCTGTAATCCAGCTCACTCACTTCCTAAACGATTCAGACCACAGGCTACCTGCACACTGCCAGGCCAGGCTCCACTTCCTCCATTAAAGCAATCCTATGGAATACGCTGGCCTCACTTGTCAGAACTTCAGATTTCATATAAAATGTAACTAGTTCAATCCACTTGCCATCAGTATCATGAAAAAACTGTGATGACAAACACTGAAAGTTTGAAATGAAAAACAAAGTTTAAGAGTCTGCAACTAACTAAATGAGAATCCAACCTACTCATCAACAGACTTCCCTTTCTTTCCTAAACATTTGTATTTCCTGAATACCCAGAAGCCCACGTACCTCTCAGTCTTAGTGAAAGTCTCAAGTTCCCACTTTTTGACTTGAAACTCAGACAATATATGGATTTGTTACCTCTGGTAGAAAGTTAAAAGTAGTTTTCCACAGAGCTCTACCAAGCATTGGGCAGAGATAAGATGACTCTTCCCAAACCTGTTATGAAGATGTTTATCGTAGGCTTGAAAATGTATCAAGGTAATTAAATGTTTCAACATAAACTGCCCTGTGGAGGCCGTATTGGCCATGGGAAAGTAGAGACAACTTTCCATCAACTCTGAGGACTCTAAAATCCTGTTTAGGTAATAGCTTCAGCTAATCGGGACACAATGTGTGATGCGGCCTTCAGTCCTGAAGCACAGAATCCAGATAGGAATCGTAATTGTCTTAGCATCACGTGGAAACCACCTGAGGCATGCAACGTATACAAGGAGACTTCAAAAATCAAGGCGAAACAAAATTAAAAGATCCGTTTATACTGGTGCAAACCACTTCGAAACCCATGGGTGATTTCTTAGTAATATGCACTTTCCATGAACTTGGAAGAATCTCTGAAACGCAATTATATTTTCTAAGGGCCTTGACATTTCATGAGTTTTTTTTAACAGGCTGAGACAAAAAGCCAAAAGAAAAATTAAATATATATTGCAAGCAGAATCTACATTCCATGACTGCAAATATTTTTGTTGGCTTTGTCTGTTACATACCCAGTGCCGAGAACATTGCACAGGACACAACAAGTATGCAATAATTATTTGTTGAGTGACTGAATGAAAATTATTCCTAAATGCTTATGATATATCCGGCTCTATTTTCAGTGCTACATGTTTATTATTTCTTTCAATCATTACAACTTTATAATACAGGTTACCGGAATTCCCACCTATGGAAGTAGACGCTAAAACACCAAATGCTGAAGTTACTTGCCCAGAATCATATGGCTGGTGATGGTGGAGAGGAGATAAAAATATAAAATCTGGATATTAAAATCAAAGCTTTAGAACATCACTACCATACAAAGAAAAGTTAAAATATTTAAAATGTCTGACTTCGACCTATATTTTCAGTGGGACATAATACACCTGAACAATGTGGTACAACCAGAGCTGGGTAAGCTCAAATCAGTAAGTATCTGGTGAGGATCCACGTGCTCTGCTGCTTCAACACCTCAAGGAGAAAGAAGCCGCATCACGGTCCTCGTGCTTAGGAATTTTCACGAATGATTGTTTTAACACAAACATTGTCCATTTGAAAAATAAAATAAAAATTTCAAAAATCAGTAAGTATACTTTTCAGAAAGTATTTCACTGCATGTTACATGTTCTTCCAGGGCACAATCTGAAGAAACCCAAAATGATTTACCTGGTTCAGTAAGTAAAGGATCTTTGTAAGAATATGCAAACATCTTCTTGGGTTGATGGGTGTTTCGTTGAATAACCGAGCCTATGGAAACATGAGAACGTCTGTCACATACAGTGTGCTTGGCACCTTCAATGTCACAAATTGCAGCTAATCAGCTGCAGTAAAGATTAACCACAATATTCTAGTGTTAGTCGTCCACGGATCTCAACGTACTATGGAATATGGTAAATTATGAGACGTGGCCTTGCTTTCCCCTCCTCCTTTCTAACGCATCCCCTTGGGTCAACCACTCCAACGTTACAGGCGTCACCCATCAAATAAGGTGCCCCATATCGATCTAGAGCGTATGAATACGAGCTTAGTATCTAATTTCGTTCAATCACCTTGCACTTAACACCTCTTCTGAAGGTTTACTAAAAATTCCCGACCCGGGCGGAGCCTGCATTTCTTTTCATTTCTGCAAGTTCTAGACTCTCCTGCGACAGGTGATCCCCCTTCCTTTTCCCTCAAGCCTGAGTCCTTACTGTGGATGTCCCGAGGGGAGCACCGCAGGGCCTCCCTGCCCATCGCCCTACCACAGAAAAGCCCACATTCCACCGGGAAGCCGTACCTCCTGCAAGACGGTACTCTTTTCCAAATGCTGGAAAGGATTGGAGCCACTACCTGTATCACAAAACAAAGGAACGTCTTCAGCAGCTGTCCCACGGAACTTCCTTGTTAAGGAAGGGTACGGAAAGCTGGGGAGCGCTCTCCTAAGCGGGGTGACCTGTGGCACTCGCCTGACCCTGACTCGGCCACGCCCTAAGCCCCTGCCCCAGATGAGCACCTTTCTGTCCCTGCCCTGTGTCTCCGAGAATGCTGCACGTGTGGAACACTGAGGTGACGGTGGGCACTGCTGGCCTCTCTGCGAGCAAGCCCTGTCCTGTGTGCGGCCCTGACTCCCGAGGCAGAAGCACGCAGCATTCTGCAGGGAGTGAGAACAACGTGAGAGCTGACCGTGCGAGGCCGGAGGCTAAGAAACCCAACCCTCCACCACGCTTCGGGGACAGCAACTTCTCACGCACGTCTCGTGTTCTCTAGGGCGGTTTGGCATCTTCCCCACTCGCCCCAGCTCCAAGACCGGTCCTGGGGACTCAAGGCGCCCTCCGTCCCACGGGACAATCCTGCGCCCGCCCCCGAGGTCCCACAGAGCCGGGCGGGGAGGTGGTGAGTAGGGGTGAGGGGGGTCCCCAAGAAGGCTGCACGGTGCACGGCACCAGAGTGCATCCACATAGCACGCGCCCGTCGACCCCAGCCCGATAGCCGGGCTCTTCCCCTCGGGGCCTCAGCGCCCCGCGCCTCACTGCCCCGCCAGGGCCCGCGGGGAGGGACTGCGCCCGGGCAGGGGCGGTGCGGGGGCGGTGCGGGGCGGGGCCGCCGAGCAGCCGGAGGCTGCGCGGGACCCCAGGGGAGGCTCCGGAGCCCGGGGGAGGGGCCATGGCAGGCCCCGGCGGCAGCGCGGGAGAGGGGCCGGCCCCCCACACCGGCCCCCTTGCACAGTGGCGCCCACGCCCCCGGCCCCGCCGTCCCGAAATCAAGAGGCGGCGGGGGCGGAGGAGAGTGGAGGCGGTCCCCCACCGCATCTGCGGGTGGGCCTCAAAAGCCCCGCGCGTACCAGACTCTTCATCCTTCTTGTCGAATTTTTTAATCATCTTGGACGACTTCCCAAGCGCCCCACCGCAACCGTCCCAGGCGCCGCAGCCGGCAAGCGGAAGAGGCTGCAGGAAGGCCAGCCCCACGCCCTCGCGCCGGTTGGGCCGTCGGGCCGTCACTCGGGCCAAGGCCCGCCCCGCCTCGGGCCGCGCAGTCCGCCCCGGCCCCCGGGGACGCGGCCACGCCCCCTCCCGCAGCCACGCGGGGGGCGGGGCCAGCGCTGCCCCGGCTCGCGGCGGCCCGCCCCGCCCCCTACGGTAGGCCACGCCCGCTGCAGCAGGAAGGTGGTTTTATTGGGGTGGCGACTCGTGCAGGCCTCTGGGTGAGATTTCACTTAATGACAGAGACGTTTTCGACGATCCACTGCTGGGCCCTGCCTCGGCGGAAGGTGCTTGGCCCGGTCGCGGTCCTGGTGCATGTGTCTTCCAGCAGCGAGGCGAGGGTGAGCGGTTCCCACGTCACCCTGGAAGGCGGCCTGTCGCTCTTGGAAGCTAGGACGAAGCACAGGGCATCGTGGTGAACGAATGTGGGTTCCAGGAGGACTTCAGGGGCCGCTAACGTGAGGCGGTGAGGAGAGGCCCACAGGGAGGCACCAGCCGGCCAGCGGTCCATTGCCACCGGGAAGCTGCATCTGGGACATCGGACTCTCAGCCCTACTTGAGCGTCCAGAGGGCGTCCGTTTCTCAAGGCCCAGTGGAAGACACACTGGCCAGCTCAGTCTTCCTTGCTCCATCTCACCCACTTCAAATGACTGCCCCGACCCCCCGCAACCACACCGACACAGAACAGGGGGCTCGCATTCACTCTGTTCCTCTTGGCCTCTCCCAAGCGTAGGTTGGTTTGTCATACTCCTGTATCATTCCGACACTCTACCTTTGGTGTCCGTGGCTTCTCTCTATCCAGATTGTCTTTTAACCTCTGTTATTTGGAAGCTTCCATCATGACATCTTGCTGCCCTTCAGCCCACTGCCCGGATGCCTTAGGCCTTCTACATATCCCTTGACTCTGTTGCCTGTCCCTACTGCTCTCACCTTAGTTCATATCCTATTATCAGTCTCTTGGAAGGCCTCCTCACCAGCCTCCTGGCCCCTGTCCGAAGTGTTCTCCACTTAATCTTTATTTGGATGCCTGTTAAACATGGAGCATTACTAGGGAAAGGAAGGGGGACCGGCTGTCTTTCTTGCTTGGAGTGGAGACACCGGTTGGAGTTCCTGATGGATTGCCTTTGTTTAGCAAATGCACCAGATACTTATGGATACATAAGTAATCTTAGTAATCGCTTGCTTTTCTTGAGAGAAACTGTAAAGTCACCATAAATCTAATAGGTGCTGCAGATAGTCAATGTTCTGTTTAGAAATGTAAATTGGGCGTGTTCTTAATGGGATCCGTGCCCTGGCAAAATGAAAAACATTCAGTCTAGGTTAGATTCTGGATTCTAGAGCTAATTCTTTCCCCCATATACAGATTTAAGCTGAACTGTTGCTATCCTTACATATGGTATCACTTAAGATTTAACTCCGACTTGACTAAATGTACTATTACCCGTTAGGTTCGCCTTATCCGGCTTACAGAGTTCCAACTATGCTTTCCAGGTGGCGTTTCGCTGGAAGGAAATGGATGTCTTATTTATTCTAGGCCTGACAGTGAACGGGGCTTTGGCGAAGGAGAGACCCTCTTCCTCCTCCAGGGTTAGGGGGAGCCTGCACCGGGGATCAGTGTAGATAAACTTGGACAGCCTCCACACTGGGCCTGCTGGGAAGCATGGGGGAACTGAGCTCGGGTTTCAAGGCTGGGTGTAGCCCCCTTTTAAAGCAAGATAAGGTATTCTCTGGCAGTCCTCAGCTTTTCCCCACACCTGTGCAGTTGCATTCGGTACCGCAGGTTGGTGTCAGCTCATCCATGGGGAGTTAAGAGAGGCAGGGGGAAGGGAAGGGAGGGAGTGGGTTAGCAAGTAAGTCTGGGGTGGGGGTGCAGCAGGGAAGTCTGAGGAGCTGGGTCAGGGGCAGCATGACAAGACCTCGGGGCTCTGCACCCGAGACCGGTTGGGCCCAGGCCAGCTGGCAAAGGCGTTCAGCAATCAGTGGGGCTGGCCTCGGGGAGCTGGTTAGGATGCCTTCGGGAGTCTCCAACGTTGCTTCAGGAGGAAAACTCAGCAGCAGTAAAGAAACGGCGCTTGTCTGACGTCTGGGGGCCTATCAGCTATATAGGCACTGCACAAAACTGCTCTCAAACCCTTCTGTGGGCCCCAGCTGCCCTCATTTATATAGTAACAAGGACCTTCACGCTCCAGCCCATCGGTCTCACATAACAGACGTGCTCGTCCTAGTGCATGATAACTTACAGGACCCTAAACATGTTGTTGATGATGATAGGCAAGGAGCAGTCTCACTGGACCGTCTTCCATACAACCTCAACTCCAACCCCCTCCACCCCATATTCTAGCCCCGCCACAGAGAGAGACTTGTGGACTCTGAAACTCTTGGCCTGACCCTTTACTCCTCAATGAGGAGCAATTTAAGTACAAAGATGCACACCGCTTTGACATGGATGAATATTTTACTATCGAATTACTGGGAATCCAATTTAATGTATGGCAGGAAGAAAAACACAACAATTTGTACATCAAAACCAGAATGTCATTGACAGTATGATTTAGGACAAGATTTTTTTTTAAATCCTTTTAAAGAAAAATCCTAAGTAAGTAATAGAGCAAATAATGCAACAATATGGCAAAAACGCTCAAAGTGGCAGGTGATGTCTTTAGGAAACACTGAGTTTTCTTGACATTTGAGGATTTAAACAGAGTTCAAAGCTAAGTACCCCCTGAGACTCTGTTGGTTCCTCGCCTCCATGCTACCCAGAAATGAGAGTCTAGAGCCATGGCAGGAGATGCCAGCTTGCCAGATCCCTGATCCCTGTCAATCATAACCCCAGCCCATCTCAGCCTCATAACCATTGCCTAGGGGGAGGGGCTTACCATCTCTCCTCGCTTCTCTTTCATAGACTGGAGCAAAATTGAGCTGAGGGTACATTTTTTTCTGTCTCCTCAAAGCATAGATCTTGGAGTACTTCCCTTCACACTTGAAGTCATCATCAGTAGAAAACCTTAACAAAGACAGTCCTGTTAGCAGATCCTAGGTCAGGGGGTAGTGGCAGTAGGTTCCATTCTCAGAGATGACAATGACAAGGGGCTGTGGCTTGGTGTAGAGAGGAAGTATTGTTCAGTAGCTAGGGATGCTTCCAGAACTTAGCACTGTACATCTTTGAAGGAACTGCAAAATCTCCTATCAAGCTAGGTATAGGCTGTCCTATAGATTCTTTTTTTTTTTTTTTTTTTTTAGAGATTTATTTATGTGTTTGAAAGGCAGAGTTAGAAAAAGGGAGGGATCTTCTGTCCACAGCCAGGCATGAGCCGGGCCAAAGCCAGGAACCAAGGACTCTGTCTTGATCTCCCATGTGAGTGGCAGGGGCCTAAGTACTTGGGCCATCTTCTGCTGCTTCCCCATGTGCATTAGCAGGGAGCTGGATCTGAAGTGGAGCAGCCAGGACTCCAGCCGGTGCCCATATGAAATGCTGGCTTCACAGGCTGTAGCTTAACCCATGGTGCCGCAACACTGGCCCCAATATAACTAGTTGCAGATGAAATTCCTTGTCTTGGTGTTGTGATAGCATATTGTTCCTGTACTATAACCCTTGACATTCTTTTTCTGTTTTCTCAAAGCACAGACTTTTGAATCCAGCCAATCCATGCCCAGGCATTCTACATCTGCATATCCAACCAAGCACTGATGGAAAATATTACCCCCAAGGTGTTGCTGATATGTGCTATAGTTAGGTAGTTCTATCTTTACTGAACGTGACATTTGTTTCTTATCATTATTCCCTAAAAATACATTTTAACAACAATTACATAGCATTTACATTTATTAGGTATTATAAACAATCTAGAAATGATTTAAAGTAGTTGGGCTATATGCAAATATCACACTATCTTATATAAGGGACTTGAGCTTCACAGATTTTGGTATTCACTGGAGGCCCTGGAACTAATCCTACAGCCATAGCAAGGGACATTGTACTTCCCTTCATTCTTTTTTTTTTTTTTTTTTAAGGTATGGCTCTGGATTCTTTTTTATTTATTTATTTATTTTTTTATTTTTTGACAGGCAGAGTGGACAGTGAGAGAGAGACAGAGAGAAAGGTCTTCCCTTGCCGTTGGTTCACTCTCCAATGGCTGCCGCGGCCGGCGCACTGCGGCTGGCGCACCGCGCTGATCCGATGGCAGGAGCCAGGAGCCAGGTGCTTTTCCTCGTCTCCCATGGGGTGCAGGGCCCAAGTACTTGGGCCATCTTCCACTGTACTCCCTGGCCACAGCAGAGAGCTGGCCTGGAAGAGGGGCAACCGGGACAGAATCCGGCGCCCCAACCGGGACTAGAACCCGGTGTGCCGGCGCCACTAGGCGGAGGATTAGCCTAGTGAGCCGCGGCGCTGGCTCCCTTCATTCTTAAAACAACTTGGCAGTGGAAAACCTCAGGTTTGCATTACTTTTATTTCTCTTTCATTTGAGTATTAATGAAGTGGAGGGTCATGTAGAGAAACTGTCTCATTAATATATGTTGTATTGTAGTATTAGTATATGCAGAGTATTAGTATATGCAGTATTAATATATATTATTTTCCTTTTTTTTTAATTTGACAGGTAGAGTTATAGACAGTGAGAGAGAGACAGAGAGAAAGGTCTTCCTTCCATTGGTTCACTCCCCAAATGGCTGCTACGGCCAGTGCTGCGCCGATCCGAAGCCAGGGGCCAGGTGCTTCCTCCCAGTCTCCCATGCAGGTGCAGGGACCCAAGCACCTGGGCCATCCTCCACTGCCTTCCCAGGCCACAGCAGAGAGCTGGACTGGAAGAGGAGCAACTGGGACTAGTACCCGGCACTCCGACCGGGACTAGAACCCTGGGTGCCAGCGCCACAGGCGGAGGATTAGCCAAGTGAGCCACGGTGCCGGCCATGCAGTATTAGTATATATTGCATTATGTATAGCATAGATAGCATTATTGTATTACTATATATAATATCAGTGTATGTCGCATATGTTCCCTACAACCAAAAACATTTTGTTAAATTGTACTGAGAGGGGACTGTAACTTGAATAAGGAAAGGACAGGAAAGAAAATGAGTACAAGAGGCAGAACTTCACCTGAACCACTGTTCCCGCTTGGATGTGGGATCGTCCAAATGCTTCACAGGGAAGACTGGTTTCATCCCAGATTTTAGCTTTTTTTTCTGAGGCATCAAGGGCAGGCCCAGGTTTTCAGTGGGCCTGGGCTGAGGCTGACTTTCCTGTTAGAGCAAAGAGTAAGAAAGGGAGTACACTGAGTCTGTTTGGATTTAAAAGCTGGACTAAGCTCCAAGACTAAGTTCCAATTCTCCTAAAATGATGCCGCAAACCCATCAGAAAGGGAAGTAGGTAGGTGTTCAGAAATCAGAATCAGGGTTAAGCCTCCCCCTGCAACACCAGCATCCCTTATGGACACTGTTCCTCTCCCGGCTGCTCCACTTTTATGCAGCTCCCTGCTAATGACCTAGGAAAAGCAGAAGTTGGCCCAGGTGTTTGGGCCCCTGCCACCCATGTGGGAGACCTGGATGAAGCTCATGGCTGCAGCCTGGCCCAGCTCTGGCCATTGTGTTCATCTGGGGAGCATACCAGCAGATGGATGTGCGCTCGTTGTCTCTCTCTCTCTCTCTCTCTCTCTCTCTCTCTGGAACTCTAACTTCCAAAATAAACAAATAAATCTTTTTTTTTTTAAATTAAAATAAAAAAAGCAACCAGCATGGGAGGAAGCTGTTCCCTGGGCGGGGTGACTTGTGTGAAGTTTGGTCAGTTTCCTATGACACGGACCCGCCTACTGGACTTTGCAAGGGTTGACAGAGGAAGTCGCCGAGTTCCCGGAAACCAAACGTTTGGCAATGGATTGGGAAACAGAACCATGGGACACTACCTTCCTTTCCCAGAGATGGCTGCTGCATTCACATGCCTTTCTATGCCTGCAGCGAAAAGGCCATAGAATGGGATGTTTTGTGAGGTAACAATTTCATCATTCCCAACAGTCAAAGGCTCAGACACCAATCTCAATGGTCATCCAGGCTAACTATTCATATCTCGTCTACAATCTCACTAGCAAGTGGTCAATATTCTTGCACGTTAGAAAAAGTTTTCATCTTTGATCAACCAAGCAATCACCCTATACATTTTACCATGAAATCCAAAGAGAACAAATCTAGTCCCTCTTCTACAAAGTCCTAAAAATCGTTGAAGAAATCCATCATGTTCCTCCTAAATGCTCTCTTCTGGGGGTAAACATGATCATTATCTGCAACTTTTCGTCCTACGACACGGCTTCGGCTTCCCTTATCCTCCTAATTTGTCTCATTTGAGAAAGATACAATTTGTGTTCCTCCTAATGTATGGCAATCTCACATGAAAACAATAAGTCAGGCATAGCAATCACACAGCCTGGCCCTGACCCCATTAAAGTGTCTATTCAAAAGCCAGTGTCTCCTCTGAGAGCACCTCCCCCACTACTACCATCTAAAACTGTCACTCAAACCCCATCACTCTCTGGAACAGTCCATCACTCTGCTTTGTCAGGGCACTTATCACAGTATACATCATCTGTGTGATCACTTACTTGCTTGTGTCCTGTCAACCTTACCAGAATTAAAGTTCATTAGAGCAAACACTGGCTTAGCGCTATGTCTGTAGCACATCTATAGTATCTGGCAAATAGTAGGCACTCAATAAATATTTATTGAATGAGTGAAAAAATTAATAGTTCACAATGGCTAAGATATGGAATCAACCCAAATGTTCATCAACTGAAGAACTGGATAAAAAAAATTGTGGTCTATGTACACCAGGTAATACCACACAGTGGTTAAAAAAAAAAAAAAAAAAAAGAAACACTGTCATTTGCAACAAAATGAATGCAACTGGAAACCATTATATTTAGTAAAATAAGCCAGTCCCCAAAAGACAAATACCATATTTTCTCCCTGATCTGTGGTAACTAATAGAGTTACTAAAAGGTAATCTATTGACGTGATATTGACACTTTGAGATGTGATGATTTTGAACAGCCCATGTCTTGACTGTTTAGGAACAGATTTTTTTCTTTTTTATTTTTCCATACCATTTGTTGAACCATTTACTTAGTATACAGGGTTAATCTTTTGCATATAAAGTTAATTAAAAATAGGGTTTTGTATAAAATAAGAATGGAAACAGGAGAGGGAGGAGGAAGAAGGGTGGGAGTGTGGGTGGGAAGCATTACTGTTTCTAAATCTGTATATATAAAATGTATGAAGTTTGTATACCTTAAATAAAAGATTTCTAGGTGAAAAAATAAACTCACTCTTACTACCTCTACTAAAAAGAATAAACTTGAGAATTCACTAAAAAGCCCAATTGATATATATTAATTATATATTTTATATACTTGATAATCTAATTAATTGATAGACCTTTTCCTTTCAGAATTTTAAACACTTTTAAAAATCTCTGCCACTGCTGAACCATGCCTTTGTAATTCTGAATCCCTCTTATCAAGCTCTTCTAGTTTTAAGGATGTTTCGTGCAAGAGCACACGTGCCTGGGGCCCATAGCTAACAAAAACAAAGACAAAGGTAATGATCCAGCCATAAGAAGAGCAGAAACCTTATCAGAGCTGGGCCTTATAAAAGAAAAATGGATACTGACAAGTTATTTGGAATCCAAGACAGCCCTGCTCAGCCACGTGTTGACCCTAGCGTACCACTAACAGATCTCTCCATCTCTCCCATCTGCTTCTCTGCTCCTTCCCCTTTCTCTGTCTTGTTCATGTCACACGTACAACCTTCTCAACTACAGCATCTGCCTATTTATTTCTACTTTCCTTATAGCATCAGCTTCCCTATGCTCGATTTTCATGCGCCCCACACCACTACTCCCCCTCCCCGTGCTTTGATTCCTTTCTGGCCTCATTCTGTATGTCTTTCAGCTTTCATTCCTAATGCTCAATCTTTTCATTTCCCCACCCGGGTGTCTGGAAGTGAGAATCTGTTTGGTTGAGGGATGTTGGCTATTGGCAGGTTGATTGGTCTCCTAACTTGGCTTCCTTGTGTGTAGTATCCTCCTTGGGTCCCTGGCGAGAGTAGAGACAGGATCACATTGTATCAAACAGGACCCCTTGAGACATTCCCCTCTCAAGCAGACTCCACTTGGAAGATGCTGTGAGTACAACAGTCACTGTCAACTTGCCATCTGGAACCCACACTTCCTATACATGTGCCTGGGTAGAGCAAAAGAATGCTTTTCTTGGATAGGATCCTAGGTTCTCAAAAGTTCCTTGCATGTATCCAGCAAGGGAAGACAGGCATGCAGCAAGAATATTAAAGAGGCACTGTGGCTATTTGGCATTTGGATCTTCCTAGGTTTCTTTCAAATAGTGCCCTAAAGTTGCCATGGTGCCAGACTTCGGTCATGAAAGCCTTAACTCTGCCCATTAATACAATTTAACTAGTACTGCAATCTGCTCACGAAAGTGATCAAGTTCTCTTGTACACAGCTGACAGGACAGCCTTGTTCTGCCTGTCTCACCTCGAGCAGGACAACCCTGCCCTGACATGTGTACCCTCTTTCAGTGTATATTATGGCTACTATCCAGAGAATCCACCACTGATTTTACCTTCAAATCCTGAGACCCAGGAGACCAGAGGTACTGAATTTAACTTCCTTGGCAGTGAATACTATTGAGTGTTAGCATATTAGATATTACTATAATACTGTCAGATATTACTATAATACTCTAATATTACTATAATGCGATTGAGTATTAGCGTATTAGATATTCCAGTTGGAGAGGAATATCTCATTGTCCTCCATCTAGCAACTAAAGAAACACTAATTCAAAATTCACCATGTTTTAGTACAAAGTCTGTTTCAGATAATCCTACTCGCAGCATCAAATAGCTGTTCAATTCTTTGGTTTACACTTTCACTTACCTCATTTAGTTTCTTCTTCTTGGATTAAAATAGCCCTCTCTCCAGGCTATCAGGAATTTTTTTAGAGCCTAATTCCTAGAGATATTTTAGATCAATTTCTTCACTTCCTCTGCTATTGATTTTAGTTCATGTCTTCAATCTTTTTCACTTTGACTATTGTAGTAACCTTGTAACCAATCTTTGTGGCTTTTGTCTCTTCCACAGCAAATGCACCTTGTATCGCCTTCCTAAATGGTCTTTCTAAAATGCAAATTTCCATACATCCTTTTATCTCCTGCCATTTACTCTCTGACATCTCCCTGCTGCCTCTCATGGTCTCCTGTCTCCCTGGCCCTGCACTTCCCTCTGGTTGGAATATTCTCTTATTCTCTAGTCACAGATCACCTTCTGGACTGCTCCTTTTTCCCCAAGACAAATGCAGTCTCTATTTGACACTACCTTGTATGTTCTGCTACTACTCATAGATCCTGGTATTTGATACTTACTTTTATGTATCTCACTTACCAGTCTCTCTCTCTCCCCCCATCAGACTCTAGATTCCTTCAAGATAGATTGTTACATGGTCATCTTTATAGTCTGATTCTTAGCTAACTGTATGCTCAGCAGGTGCTTACAGAATGGCATTTAAACTTCTTTTTAATAGAATTCTAAATGTCTGGCTACCGTGATTATAAATTCTCTATTCCCTTCTCCTGATACCCAAGAGCAAAACCATAACCCTTTACACCTTTCCCATTCAGACATTGTGTTCCTTATTCCTCGTTTCCTGATTCATCTTCTACTACTTTATTCCTGACGAGTTTCACCCTTTGTCCTTTACAAACTAAGTATCTTCAGCCAGAGAAGAACACTTGTCAGTTAAGACCCCTTTTCTCTCTGCACGGAATTTGCATGACCCAAGCTGGTTGAATTCTGACTCAGAATTTCCCAGGCTCTCCAGATTCTGTTTTGTGAAACTTCTGGCCAGGAATAAGAAGGAACCAGCTGTTTCCTGGGTACCATTTCTCCATGTTAAATCTGTGCCCTTCTCCAAGCTAACTCCTTATTCTCCAGGGTCTACATGCAGGATTCCAGAGAACTGCCCGGGGCACCACTACCTCACGCAGCAGCTCCTTGGAAAAGTATTTTGATGTGCTGTCCTTTTCCTGCTGATTGATCAGGTAGGGAGGTGGGTTGTTGGTCATAATCAGTAAGGTCATATCTTGATCGTACTCTGTTACTTTTAACATGAAGTTTCTGGTTTTCCTGCTCTGATTCAGGAATTTCTGTTGTGTAGTGGGCTTCAAAGGCTCATAGTACTTGGCCTAAGCAGAAAGAGAGATTTCCAGAGACAAAGCGATTAGGTCAAGAGGAGATGAACAGAATTGGTTGACTAATCTTTTGCTTCTGTAGGGTTGGGGCGGGGTTGGAAAAATTCACTGCCAAATTTGTTTGAAACTTTCTGTCCCTGTCTTCCCTTGGAGCATTCCCCTGCAAACAGATGAAGGGGCTGGGAATATATGACAGAAAGCTGCCCACAGCACCAGCAAGGAGATGACTTACTGCAACACGGTGTCCTACCTAGCGGGACACACAGACAGGTTTCTATGCGGCTAGACCTAATTGGCCTTCTCTCTCCAACTCCCTCTGAGGCAGGGGAAGAAACTGCCAAGGCCCACAGCTCCTTCTCCAGGAATTCTCCCATAGCCTGCACCGTCCAGCACCCAAACCTCCCCTTAGTTACACCCTCCCACCCACCAGCACCTTAATAGGTATTTGTAAGCACAGCTTTAAAATGGAAAAGCCGTCACAAAACCCAACATATCTCTTAAGGTGCGGGTGGGGAAGAGGCAGTCCCACCAAACTTACTTTTTCCTCAAAAAGGGGAAGGCAAAAAGGATAGGTTATAAACATGTTTTCCCTGATTATAAATACGTTTTCTCAACTTATAAAAAAAATTAGCTGCAGGAACCACTGTCCTCCCAGTGCCCCCCCCCCCCCATCAGGATTCCCAGCTCGGTCTCAGGCACAGGTTCCCGGGAGCAGGTCAGCCTCCCTGGCCTCGACGTGTGTGCTCAAGAAGCTGGGGGGCACTGAGGCCCTAGGGACACACTGCACTGCTGCTGCAACTTGTTACCATCTCAGGAAGACGGCTTCTTTACCTACCAAATTTGGATGGATTTTGTAATCCTGAAGATTCCCCAGGACAAAGTTTGATGGCTCAACTGGATCAAAACTCTAAAGACAATAAGCAAAGTTAGCAGTTCCCAATTGCACCCATGCTAAACAGAATTCTATTCTTGACCTCACCTTAGTGTCACTAAAATGTGATCTCTAGCTTAATTTTATTTATTTATTTGAGACAGAGAGAGAGAGAGAGAGACGGGGGGGAGGGAGGGAGGAAGGGAGAGAGGAGAGAGAGGAGAGAAAGGGAGGGGAGAGAAAGAGAGGAGAGAGAGAAACTCCCACCCCTGGTTAACTCCTCAAATGCCCTCAATGTCCAAGACAGCATAAACCAGTAACTCAATCAAGGTATCCCATGTGAGAGGCAGAGACCCAACTACTCGGGTCATCACTGCTACCTTCTAGGGTACCTATTAGCAGGAAGCTGAAGTCAGGAGGTAGAGACAGAAATTAAATCCAGGTTCTCAGCTATTTGAGGCAGGGTCTTAACAAGTAAGCCAGATGCTTACCCTTAGTTTTTCTACCTTTTGGAACACAGAACCTATTTGTTCAAAACAAAAATATATAACGAATAACTTATTTCACAAACATGACACAGATGTTTAGGATCATAGAAGTCTAAGAAAAATTTAATTGGGGGGAAAAGTGTGAAATTTGCTTTTATTAAGAGATACTTAAAAGTTATTTATTTGAGAGAGAGAGAGAGAGAGAAAGCACTCCCACCTGCTGGTTTACTCCCCCAAATGCCTGAAACAGATGGGACTTGGCCAGGCCAAAGTCAGGAAACATGAACTCAACTTGGTCTACCATACAGGTGGGAGGCAGGGACCTGTCGTGTAAGCCACCCACTGCTGCTTCATGGGGACACATTAGCAGGAAGCTGCGGTCAGGAGCCAGAGCTGAGAATAGAACCCAGGTAGGGGAATGTAGCATGTGGGTGACTCACCCACTAGGTCAAATGCTCACCCCCAACTTTCTTTTACAGGCTTTAAAACAAGTTAATTCGAGGGAAAAAAATCCCTGGGGAAATGTTTTCACTCGTGAATTTTTTTTTTTTTTTTTTTGACAGGCAGAGTGGACAGTGAGAGAGAGAGACAGAGAGAAAGGTCTTCCTTGGTTCACTCTCCTAACGGCTGCCGCGGCCGGCGCACAGCGCTGATCCAAAGGCAGGAGCCAGGTGCTTCTCCTGGTCTCCCATGGGGTGCAGGACCCAAGCACTCCTGGCCACAGCAGAGAGCTGGCCTGGAAGAGGGGCAACCGAGACAGAATCCGGTGCCCCGACTGGGACTAGAACCCGGTGTGCCGGCGCCACAGGCGGAGGATTACCCTAGTGAGCCGCGGCGCCGGCCTTTACTAGTGAACTTTTCTGCGGCTTTGTTCCAAAGTAGCCTCCAAGAGTTGACTAAGCCTGCAAGATTGTCCAAATTGGAATCTGTTTTTAGTTTTGGTATGTTGAATTGCATTATCTCTGGCTAAGGACATAAAAGTAGACCTGAAAAATCCATTTACTATGATAAGCCTGGGAAAATAAACCAAAGTACCCAACAGAGTTCTGCTACCAGCGGTTAATTGTGAAGCCTAGATTGGCCAGGGTTTAACTCCCTTACTCCCTATAATCGTTGTCCCTGAATTTCATGCCCTGATTTGTTGCTGATATGTCCTTGACTCCTCTTTTTTCCTATGCCTCTGTTTTCCTTTCATAAAACTAGATAAGTTAACTTTGTTCTCCATATAAATCTTAACCCCGTTTTGCTTTCCAATAGGAAGTTTGTAGACCCAGCTAAGAAAGTACTCAGCAACCCCAAAGTAAGCTTATAAACGAACATTTGCTAATGCTCTCCCTTACCTCATCACCATCGACCATGACTCCTTTCTGTTTAACTGGTCTATTTTCTGAAGTCTTTGGTTTGCCATATTCAAACCTGAAACAGAGGTCGAATGTCCACTTGCCTTTTCTGACTCAGAGTCCTGGCCTGCTGCATGTTCTCAGTGCCCCTCCACAAAGTTTGGGAGCCTAACTTAGAAGAGTCTGGCTTGGATGATTACAAAAGGAATGTGTAAAGAATAGGGCCCATTATCCACCCTGCATACTCGGGAGAAAGAAGACCTCAGTTTGAATGGTTAGAGAAGTGGGGTCCTCTGATGCCCTGGTTTCCTCTAAAATAAGGGTTTCGACTGCCCAGGGAAGGGCTGTAGTCTATGCTTAAGAACATCCTTTGGGACAGCAAGGCTCTCATAATACTCTTAAAGCTCACCTACTATGTTGAATGCCAACCCACACAACTCCTCTTTTCTGTGCAAAGACCCTGCCTTTGCCAGTGATTGGCTAGCGTTAGCCAAGGAATTCCTCAGAAGGAATACAGACAGCAGAACCTCTAGTTTCCAATTCTTAATCACCTGGCTCGGATTCCTGGCTCTCTCATCTTCCTGACCCCATCTCAAGGTTTCTCTTCTAGAACTAGAGGAATGAAAATAACCATCGATGGCAAATATTTTTGTACTCGGATCTTTCACTTAGTTCCCCTCCTCCTGCTCACATACCAGCTCCCTTTGGGGAAGGGGGAAGAAGGAGCAGAAGTTGATGTGTTTAATAATGGATTATTTTGGATTCCCTGACTGGTTCTTTATAAACCCATTTATTGCCTGAACAGAGTGGACGATGCTGATCAGTAAAATTGGGTTAACGATGACAGTAAATGGCCCGCTTCCTCCTTACAGATAGTTCCATTGTCAGATTACACTAGCTCAAATTAATAACAATTCTGCAACTACCTCAATGAGACACTTTTCCTTTAAAAATGAGGATAGCAAAATAAGACCCAACATCAAAAATGTAGAAATAGCCAAGTTATACAGTTGGCACGTTAACGGGCTAGATCATGGTGCACATACTCCCAAAGTCAGTATCAGATTCTATCCAAGGACTGCTGGCTTCCACCTGCTATCAGTCACCAGCCGCACCATTAAATCAGGTCAGAGGTCTTAACTGCAGGAGACCTACTGTGGATAGTCCATAATGAAATTATCCAAAATAAATTCATCAAATAACATAACACTTTCAAGTCTGTGTTCTAGTCCTAGTGCCTTAAGTTATCTAGTAATTACTAATATGTTTTTTTTTTTTTTTTGACAGAGTGGACAGTGAGAGAGAGAGAAACAGAGAGAGAGGTCTTCCTTTTGCCGTTGGTTCACCCTCCAATGGCCACTGCGGCTGGCGCACGGCGCTGATCCAAAGGCAGGAGCCAGGTGCTCATCCTGGTCTCCCATGGGGTGCAGGGCCCAAGCACCTGGGCCATCCTCCACTGCACTCCCTGGCCACAGCAGAGAGCTGGCCTGGAAGAGGGGCAACCGGGACAGAATCCGGCGCCCCGACTGGGACTAGAACCCAGTGTGCCGGCACCGCAAGGCGGAGGATTAGCCTAGTGAGCCGCGGCGCCCGCCAATATGGTCTTTATTGTAGCACTCTTCAAAAACAATTCTTTGATATCTCAAAGGGAGCACAGGGTTCCAGACTCTCTTCTTTAAGGCCAACTGAAGGTATAGAAAGGTATATGAAAAGTACTTCCTCAGCCCAACAGTGACCACCTTGAACAGTCTTGCTACTTTCTTTTTGGCAAAGCTACTCCAGTTGCTGCAAGAAACACAGAACAAGACAAGGGTTTTGATCTGGGGACAGCCATCCAACTAAAATTGAATTTAATGCGTTTCTGCTCTGTGATTACCACTACTCAAAGTGCACTGGGCTACTAAGTAAGTTAGTACAGGGTGGTATTCAAAACTTAGTCGACTACACACTTGGCATATCTCTTTTGGCCCATTGCTGTTCACTGCTAATTGGGCCAACCCGAGGCAGGGATTCTCCCAAGTCCAAATTCAGTGTCTCTGAATAGTCCACGTTCTTTGGGGGTTCAATTCAATCCAAACATTCATTCCTTAGCACACACTGTGTGCCCAGCCCCGTTCTTGATCCTGTATGGGAAATGAGAGAAGACTGACAGGTGCTGTTATAGATGCAGAAAGTGCACAGACATGATGAACCCTACCCTCAAGGAATTAAGTTTATTTGACAAAGGGGGATGAGGAGAGGATGTGATTGATAATGTGAAACGGTAATGACAAATACATGGCAACATATTAGGTAAGTCACTTTCTTTTCTTAGGGGTCTCAATTTCTTCTACCCTAAAATGAAGAGCATTAATCCAATGATTTAAAGGTGACATTTCAATTTCTTGAAAGTGGTGAGATTTACCTACATGCAGACCTGAAATAAAATTAATTCACATGTATCAACAGTAGGGGAAAGTTGGAGGAGCAGCCATCTTTTAATTTACCTCTCCTGTCAATACAACAATGCTCACCCATAACATGGGCCTGGGAAGCTGGGAAAAGTGTGTTCAGGAATGGGGAAATTTTTTGATACTGACAATTAGATTAGGACAATAAAAGCTGATGACATCTAACCACCATTTGGAGAAAGGGGAAGCCAATGAAACTTTGCAGGATGGAGTGTGCGCTCCCTAACTGGAAAGATTACTTGTTGTTGATGTTGTTCTAAGCCATAAGAAATGCAAGTGGGTAGAGAGAATGGGATCACATTGTGGCACCTTTGACAACTGCGTAGGATTTTGATAAGACCTCTTAGCTCAAATTCCAGGGAGAGGTCCGTGTTAGCACTAATAGTGTTGCTGTGTGATTGTTTTAGGGTTTATGTCTTGTTTTCTAGTTTGACTATCTAGACATAAACCATGAAGATAATTGTCTAGAATTTATGACTAGACTGAGCTAAATCCTAAAAGGTCCCTTCCAGGCAAATAGATTTTAACAAGCTTTTCGCCTTTTTTTTTTTTTCTCCACATTTAGTTCCTCTGGAATTGTAAGTCCAGTTTGCGTATATGTTGGAACCAAAATAAAAGGGAGCCACCAGAATGGGGTGGGGGCTGTGTGTTACAAGTCTTATATTGTATGCAGCCAAGGCTGGAAACACAAAATTCACATGAACACAAAAACTACATTTAAAAGAAGAACAGACATATCTGGTGTACGATACCTTTAGGGAAGTCAGGAAATCATAGTTGAAGGAGGAAAGCAAAATTCCATGGTATTGAAACTTTCCATTTTGAAAATATCTTGATTATTCTTTCTGGATTCTGGAGGAGACAAAGACTTGGTGATGAACAAGCAATCTAGAATGCTGAGGTGTTCTATAGTGGAGACAGAAAATAAAAAGGACAGGCCGGCGCCGCGGCTCACTAGGCTAATCCTCCGCCTAGTGGCGCCAGCACACCGGGTTCTAGTCCCGGTTGGGGCGCCGGATTCTGTCCCGGTTGCCCCTCTTCCAGGCCAGCTCTCTGCTGTGGCCAGGGAGTGCAGTGGAGGATGGCCCAAGTCCTTGGGCCCTGCACCCCATGAGAGACCAGGAGAAGCACCTGGCTCCTGCCTTTAGATCAGCGCGGTGTGCCGGTCGCGGCGGCCATTGGAGGGTGAACCAACAGCAAAGGAAGACCTTTCTCTCTGTGTCTCTCTCTCACTGTCCACTCTGCCTGTCAAAAAAAAAAAAAAAAAAAGGACCAAGGTATACTCACACAACATTGCTGGAAGCCCTGTTTGTTTTTCCAACCTACAACTTCTCCACACATGCACACTGGCCTTTACACCACCCCTGAACCTCTGCCTTCACTAACGTGTTCACCCCATTCTTCAAACACAGAATTACAGAATTTCTCTCCTATTCCTCATACTTAAAACACTCTCCCCTACCTCTTCAACCATTTGAATCGTCTTTCTAAGACTTCTTAGATCTTTCTTCTAAAGAGAAGACTTCCACATCAATCCAACCCCAAACTCTTGCCTATAGTCATCATTTTCTGTGCATGTAATTGTTACAAAGTATCCTGTGGTTCTACTTAGGCTTTTCTTCTGGGCATGTCTTTTGGGGAGTGAACCAACGAAAGGAAGACCTTTCTCTCTGTCTCTCTCTCTCTCTCACTGTCTATAACTCTGTCAAATAAAAAAAAAGTGCAAACTGGATTTTTCTACATATTTGCAAATGCTAGACATTTAAAATCAGTGTTTGTTTCTTTCAGTATATCTACTGAACATTTACAACATATTAGATACCATCCGAGTGATGGGAACAACACATAAATCAGATGTAGTCTTCAACCTTAAGGAGCTCACAGTGTAGCCAGGAAGAGACACAAGGAGAAAATGTTTATGTCCCCTTGAGACTTATGTTGAAGCCTAATTTGCAATGTGAGGATATTTGGAGTTTGGAGCCTTTGGGAGATGGTGAGTACCCTTATAAAAGAGGTCCCAGGGGCTGGCGCTGTGGTGCAGTGGGTTAACATCCTGGCCTGAAGTGTCAGCATCCCATATGGGTGCCGGTTCGAGACCTGACTGCTCTACTTCTGATCCAGCTCTCTGCTATTTCCTGGGAAAGCAGTAGAAGATGGCCCAACTCCCTGGGTCCCAGCACCCGTGTGGGAGACCTGGAAGAAGCTCCTGGCTCCTGGCTTTGGATCGGCGCAGCTCCTGAAGTTGCGGCCAACTGGGGAGTGAACCAGTGGATGGAAGACCTCTCTCTTTCTCTCTCTCTCTCTCTCTCTCTCTGCCTCTCCTCTTTCTGTGTAACTCTGACTTTCAAATAAATGAATAAATCTTAAAAAAAAAAAAAAAAAAGGAAGTCCCAGAGAGCCTCTTGGCCTCTTTTGCCAGATGAGGACACTGCAAAAGACAGCCATCTGTGAACCCGGAAGTAGGTCTTCCCCAGACCCCAAATCTGCAGGCACCTTGATTTTGGAGTTCCTAGTCTCCACTACTGTGAGAAATAAATCACTATGATAAGTCACCCAGTTTATAGCATTTTGTTATAGCTGTCTGAATAGTCTAAGACTCAAAATAGAACTAACACATTTGGGAGTCAGCCTTAAGTATACAGGCTCACTGAAGCCATTGGAGCAGATGAGACCAAGCAAGGAAAATGGTGGATTGATAAGAGACCAAGGTTGAGGATGGAGCTCCGGGCTGTGGAAGGAAGGAGGAGCATCAGAGGTGGATGGGATGAAGGATACTGAGAAGGAGTGGCCAGAGGTTGGAGCAGAACAGGAGGAAGTGGCCACAGGAATTGTGGGAAGAGTTGGTATCATGAAAAATGAAGAAAACCTCCAGCTTAAAGCAGCAACTGAACTGCAGATTTGATGGCCTATAAAAAAGACATCACAAAAATAATCAAAAGCTCAATAAACAACTCAATGTGGCAACCGCAAGGCAGAAACATCTAGACTTGAAAAAGCCCATGAGGATGGAGTTCATTGGGAGGGTCAGGATTTGCTTGAAGAAAGAGACCAGCTGATAACGATAATGAGAATCCCTACAGCTTGTCTTCATTTTCAGACATGGGGGCTGCATCAACCAAACCTCAGAGTGGTTTTCCCTTCCTACAGCCCTTTGGGTGTTGAACAGCTTCTCCCATCCCTTCTCCTATACAACTTCCCATGTCTGGATGGAGTCTTCACACCCCGGGCAACAGCTGGGCAAGGGTAGCTCCTCCCTTGTGTGGCTCTTCCTTCCTCAAACAGCCTGCCAGCAACATGTGAAGATTTTCTTCTATTAGGGAGAGGTCCGTTGTTCATTAGTGACCAGATAAGTCTTTCCAGTTATGGGGTATAATAGGAGGCCCATTTTTTGTTCAACTCCCAGCCATAGTCTCCAAACCAGCTTCTAACAAAAACTGCTATTATGAACTTACCTAATTCTTGCACAAGTTGATTAATTGCTTTGGAACCTGTGTGGAGAAGAGATGGTATTGGCACCTTACACATTTCAACATCCTGGATTTTGTGAATGATGCAACTGTAGATTTCACATTTTAATATGCTGTATGGTTTGAGATACCAGAGAAGTAGCAAATGGTTGTTTCAGAAAGTTATCTCCTTAGCAAAGTGAACATGAAAGCCTTCTAGAAACAGAATAGAGCAGAGAGCTCTGCATCTACTGGCAAGGAATGGCACCAGAGTCCATAAAGCCAGTCTCCCCATCTATTGACCAAAACCAAGTGTAAAACTAACTAGCCTTATTCAGGAGCTGGTGATGTGGTGCAGTGGGTTTAATTGCTGCCGATAACGCTGGCATCCCATATGGGCACCAGTCTGAGTACCAGCTGCTCCCCTTCTGATCCAGCTCCCCGCTAATGTACCCAGAAAAGCAGCAGAAGATACCCCAAGTGCTGTATCCCCTGCTGTCCATGTGGGAGAATCTGATGGAGTTCCTGGCTCCTGACTTCAGCCCATCCCAGCCCTGGCTGTTGTGAACATTTAGGGAGTGAACCAATAGATGGATGCGCGCTCTCTCTCTCTCTCTCTCTCTTCTCCCCCTCTTCTTCTCCCCTTCCCTCTCCCTCTCTTTGTGTAATTCTGCCTTTCAAGTAAATAAATAAATCTTTTTTAAAAAGAACTATCATTATTCAGAGATGAATGAATGGAAAGTGATTTCTGGAATGAATTAATTTTATATAAAAAATAGCAAGAGTCACTCTGGCACCTAGAGGGAGCTAAGAAAGACTAGCAGAAAAGGAGAAACGTGGTGATTGAGTAAGAGATTGGGATCTGGGAGTGGGGAATCCAGGCCCTGAAATCTGTCTGTACATCTAAAAATGTGGGGAAATCTATGTATGAGAGACTGCAAGCTTCCATTCAACTTACTATTGGACCATTAGGGAAACAAGGACCAAAGGAAGAACCAACAGGGAAATTGTGGAGGTAAGAGATGTGGCCGGCGCTGTGGCGCAGCAGGTTAAAACCCTGGCCTGAAGCACCAGCATCCCATATGGGCGCCATCTCTAGTCCCAGCTGCTCCTCTTCTGATCCAGCTCTCTGCTATGGCCTGGGAAAGCAGTGGAGGATGGCCCAAGTGCTTGGGCCCCTGCACCCATGTGGGAGACCCAGAAGAAGCTCCTGGCTCCTGGCTTTGGATCAGCCCAGCTCCGGCCGTTGTGGCCATCTGGGGAGTGAACCAGCGGATGGAAGACCTCTCTTTGTTTCTACCTCTCTCTGTGACTCTGTCTTTCAAATAAATAAAACATAAATCTTTATAAAAAAAAATGAGGGGCACAGTAAAAGATAGAAGGTAACCTCAAGGGAGTCCCACTGTAGAAATTTCTAAAATGTTTCAAATGTATGAGTGAAAGGCCGGCACTGTAGAATAACAGGTAAAGCCACCACCTACAGTGCCTGCATCCCATATGGGTGCTGGTTTGAGCCCAGGCTGCTCCACCTCCGATCCAGCTCTCTGCTATGGCCTGGGAAAGTAGTAGAAGATGGCAGAAGTCCTTGGGCCGCTGCACCCGCGTGGGAGATCCAGAAGAAGTTCCTGGCTCCTGGCTTCGGATCAGCGCAGCTCCGGCCATTGCGGCCTATTGGGGAGTGAACCAGCAGATGGAAGACCTCGCTCTCTCTCTCTGTCTGTCTCTGTCTCTCTTTCTCTCTCTGTGTAACTCTGACTTTCAAATAAATACATAAATGTATGAGTGAGCATTGGAAGTGCTTTCCCATTCAAGACACCTCAGATTCTTAACTGTTAGGCAGCTTCCTAGCTTTCAAGTCAAGGGCACTGTTGTAACACAGAATGATCTAGGCACTAGATGTGATCAGCTCAGATGCTCCTGACTAACAAGGCAAGCAAATTTCTAATATTACAGAATTTTCCCTGATACGAAAGTCATAATGTCACAACTTTCCTAGCAAATCATATATTGAATTTAAATATCACCAAAAATTTTACAAATATCAGTGTTCATAGAGTTGGGGTGATGGGGGCTCAGGGCGAGGAGGGAGCTCTTGGGGAAATTGTTCTTCCTGACTTTCTCACTCTGAGTTTTCTCAAGAAGGAAACTCATATCACTCTTTGGGCTTTCTTTTTCTCTTATGGGAGGTCTCTATATAATGAAAGTCCACATAAGTGGGGTTGACTTGCTCTCTGTTCAGGTCCTGGTCTTCTACTCTATTGGCCTCCATTTCTGCAACACAGGTTTGAGGTCAGATGTTGGGAGAAGGCCCACCGGACTCTACACTATATGTGAGTGGCCTCCTGGGTCAGTTATCTACCTACTGTGTCTCAGCTCCAAGCCCCCTCCCCCATTCTAAGCCCCATTCTGAGATGCAAACCGTATTTCTCACACCCCTTTGACCACTGCGCTTTGTATAGGTTCTGCCAATAGGTGAGATGAGTGGGAGCTTGGAGTACGGGGGAAAAAGGTCCTTCCTGTTTCCCAGTTCATGTTAGCATCTCTTTGGCAAGAGCCACTGGCCCATCTGTGGTTGCTCTCTAAGTTCCAGGTATTGATAAGTGATCTCTGTGGTCAGCAAGGGCTGAGGGCCAGAACTTCAAACCACAAAAGCCTCACATTAATATTGATTCATGTGTTTGTTCACTCATTCAACAAATATTATTGAACCCTCTTACGTGGCATGGCCTCGTTCAGTTCTGAGAATAAACAAATTGTGTCTCCTCATGGAGCTTACATTCTGGCTGGGAGCTGGATGCAACTGTAGGTTATATCTGCTCTTGAATGACTAAATGGGTATCTCAGACTTGACAGCTTCAAAGTAACTCTTGGCTCTCCCTCCCCTGCAAACCCATTTCCCCCCAAGCCTTTCCTATCTCAGTGCACAGCACTGCCGTAGATTATATTAATTAGGCAAGCAACATTGGGAGTTAGCTCTGATTCTTCTTATTCTCCCAAACTACATATCCAGTCTAAACTGCTATTGAGTCTCTCTTCCAGATATATTCCAGATCAGACTACTTTTCAACCTCCCTGGTCCAAGCTGAAGCTCCCTTTACCTTGGACTGCTTCAACCAGCGGTAGTTGTCTTTGGGAAGACTGTGCTTCGGGGCAGAGGGGAACAAAGGGAAGTGATGTTGCAGAGTACAGCAACTGGACTGCATGTTATAGCTTCTTACCAGCTCTGTGTCCCTGAAGCAATCACACACATTTTATAAGAAAGGAGTCTATCTGATGCTTGGCCTTTAAGAAGAGAGCTACAAGCTTTAAGAAGACGACTACAATGCCATTTACCAGAGTTTGCAAGAGGGGTCTGCTTTACTTATGTCCTCATGAATACTTAGGTAAGCCCAGACAGAAAATAAATCTACTTCTGGAGATGGATTTTTTTTTTAACAGAAAAAAAAAAAAAAAGAACCAAAGAATTTTCTTGCTCAAAATCTGCTCACATTTTCCCATCACATTTGGAATGAAATTCAAGCTCCTTGCCACATTATGTAACAGGCTTGGGTGGTTCTCCCTGTTCCCTCCTAATTTCGCTTCCTACCAGGCATGTCATCAACTCCCGCCAGCATGGACTTCCTGCTAATCCTCGAACGTGTTAAGGTCATTCCCTCTATGGGGCTTTTGCTACTTGTGTTCTCACAAACTTCCTACTGCATACTCCCTCACTTTGTTCATTTTTTCTGCTCAAATGTCACACTCTTAAAAAGATCTTCCAGGAGCAGGCGCTGTGGCATAGTGGGCTAAGCCTCCGCCTGTGGCACCTGCCCCAAGGGGCACCAGTTTGTATCCCAGCTGCTCCTCTTCCCATCCAGCTCTCTGCTATGGCCTGGGAAAGCAGTAGAAGGTGGTCCAGTCCTTGGGACCCTGCACCCGTGTGGGAGACCTGGAAGAAGCTCCTGGCTCATGGCTTCAGATTGGCCCAGCTCCCAGGCTTTGTGGCCATTTGGGGAGTGAACCAGTGGATGGAAGACCTTTCCCTCTGTCTCTCCCTCTCTCTGTCTATTACTCTACCTCTCAAATAAATAAATAATCTTTTTTAAAGACCATCTTTAGCTATCCCAATACTCAGATTCTCTCTCCTGGTCATGTTATCTTTATTATGCTTGATTATTCTTCCAAATCTTTGAATTTACTCCTTACACATTTCTGCATTTATCTCCTTTATTTATTCTGTAGTTATCTCACATTTATTCATCCATCTCCTTTGCAAGAATGTATTCTCCAATGTTGCAAAGATTTTGGGTCACTACAATATCCCACGTGCCTGGAGCAGTAACATTTGGTAGATATGAGCAAACATTTGTTGATTGACTGAGAACTCAACACGACATGTGAGTTTTACTTTAGATTTAGTAGTGCTAGGCATCATTGGTAGTACTTGATGGTCCTTTCAAATATTCTTCCTTTTTATCCTGTTCTTACAAAAGACATATGAAAGCCAAGAAAAAATCAGGCAGAACCAACATCAAAGGAACTACAGGGCTTATCCACTGCCCCTGTGAGGCATGTCCTTCCCTACCCATCCTCTTTGAGCTCTCAGTTTGTTCCTGGTACATTCGTTGGTTATGACCCGATAACGTTTGTGACTGTCATAGCAATAGCCAGAAAGAGGCCTCCTCTAATAAGAATAAAACCATGTCATCCCCAAGGTGGAAAAATCACTACACCTATCTATCTGATTTATTTATCTATTTGATTTATCTATCAAAAAGAGAGAGAGAGAGAGAGAGAGAGAGAGAAACAACCAAAAGCAAACAGGGGGATGTGTCAGCAGGTGAATGAATGAAGAGAGACTGATATTCGGAAAGACATGAGATGAGAAACATCAACACTCATCAAATAAAAGAAAAAGAGGGGGTGTCTCTCTGCTTTTCTATCTGTACCTAACTGCTTTCACATTTAGGGACCAGGCTAGGTAGGGGCCGAGGAGACATTTTTTGCAGATGGTCTATCTGGAAAAATACTTGGGTCCAAGACAGACTTATTGGAAGAAGGAAAAATGACATCAGCAATTTGGAATCGCACCCGGAGAGAACCCGGGAGATCCAGGAAATTAATGATAGTCGCCCTCTGATGGTGACAGACAGCAAGTCCTGGATGAGAACAGCTGGGGGCCTTTCGTTTGCGGATGAGGACGACTACTCAAGTTGGTTATGGGAACTCTGGGCTTACAGGAAGAAGGCTCCAGCAGTGACCAGAGAATACTCCCGGCATGCTTTGACATGTTTCAGGACGACCCAGGTTTGGAAGCAGGGACTCAGGACCCGCACACACCATGAGGAACACATCCAAATAGGGTACAGAGATAAAACTCTAAGGGGATGAGAGCCCCACAAGGGACCAGACAGCAACAGAACAGAATAACTACAGGGTCACTGCAGTGACCCAATTCTGCCTCTTTTCACCCGAAACGAACCTCGGAAAAACTTTATTAAAAGAAGATAAAATATTTCCCACAGAGTATCTTGCTTGTCAATGTTGTGACGGCTTCCTTGCCTTAAAGATTAAATTTCACAGGGGTGTATAGCTCTCAACGCAATGTTTTCATGCATTGTTTAAGAAAGTTTGTATTCCTGTCTCCGAAACTCAATACAACTTTAAGACATTTATTTTTAAAATGTGCAGGCAATAATTTGATCCACATTCCAAGTATAATTAGCAGAATGTGGAAATCACATGCAGTCATTTTATAAAGCGTAAGGATTGACAAAGGATATGAATTTCAGATGTTTCTAGAGCTGAGCAGCCAAACCATTGCATCAAATCAGCGGTTTGTAAGCAGTTATAGTCATTGTTCCTGGGCAGAACTCAATTTTAAAACATTTCTCTTTCTAACATGATAACTTATCAATCAACGATTACTAGGTGTCTTGGGCTATGCTTTAGGAATTGATTGAGAGCTATTTATTGACAAATAGCCCACTGTAATATTTTTGATTTATAATGATAGGAAATTACTCTGGCTTAGCATTTTTATATATAACATCTGGTTTTCAGAAAAGGATTAGTGACTTAAGTAGGAGATGCATGCAAATAACTTTATAATTTTAAAGTAAATAAAAGGGTATTTAAAAAAAACTGATGCACTGTAAGTCAAGAAAGGAAAAAGAATAAAGTGAAATAATGCATAAAAATAAATTCAAATAACTCAACAACCACAATAAACATAGTAAAATTAAGCTCACCTATGAAAAAGCCATTTCTAGGTTGAATTTCTTAAAAACCCAGCCACGGACAGTTTGCATATACACACCTAAAATAGGATAACACAGAATGTCTGAAAAAGGAATGTAGTTCAAGTAGAACAGTTTTTTCCACTCTCCTTTCCCTCTTCTTAAGTCTCCTCCACGCGCTATGCTAACATAACTGCGTCTACAGGTGATGGCCACCATCAGCTTCACCCCAATAGGCCAACAGTGGCATTTCAGTGGCTTCCAGGTGAATCTGGGACAGTCCCGGATTATGCACAGAGACAACACTACATTTGCTGTGAACGCAGCACACTCACTCGCCTGTCACCCTTTTGCCTGCTGCACTGAGACCAGGACTAAATATTTATTTGAACAGACAGACAGAGCTCCCTTGGCTGACTCACTTCCCACATGCCTGCAGCAACAGCCAGGAGCAGGCCAGGCGGAAGCCAGACACCAGGAACTCAAGCCAGCGTGTCCACATGGTGACAGGCGCTCAGGCACTTGAGCCATTGCTGCTGTCTCTCAGGGTCTGAATTAGCAGGAAGCTGGAACTGGGAGTCAGAGGCAGGAGTCAAAGCTGGGCACAGTGCATCTGCCCGGGTCACGGGCGTCTGACCTGCTCTGCTGAGCACCTGCCCTCTAAGAGACATTTTAATCGATCCTGATGTATTGTTTTTCAAATCTCTATTACAGCCAAGAGGCTATTTTAAATGTTATTTATTGTTGGTAAATGTAATAGCTACATACTGTTCTTATGTTATACTCATTTTTTAAATAGCGCCCAAATGAGGAGCTTTGCTCACTTTCTGTTTTCCAGAACAAATTTTATACACAGGGCAGAAATGAATTGCTTTTTGAAATTTTGGTAGAAATGTCCCATGAGGCGCTGGATTCTGTCCCAGTTACCCCTCTTCCAGGCCAGCTCTCTGCTGTGACCAGGGAGTGCAGTGGAGGATGGCCCAAGTCCTTGGGCCCTGCACCCCATGGGAGACCAGGAGAAGCACCTGGCTCCTGCTTTTGGATCAGCGCGGTGCGCAGGCCGCAGCGCACCACCTGTGGCGGCCATTGGAGGGTGAACCAACGGCAAAAGGAAGACCTTTCTCTCTGTCTCTCTCTCTCACTATCCACTCTGCCTGTCAAAAAAAAAAAAACACACCACACAAAAGAAATGTCCCATGAAAAACATGTGGATTTGAGGGGTCTCTGAGGGGCAAGAAGGGAAACCTTTGTCATTTAAATGTGCTTAATATTTATTCACCTATTTAAGGTCTCTATTTTTTTCTTGTGCTAAAATTAACATTTCATATCTTTCTAGGAATTAATAAATGTATAAACAATTTATAATACTTTGAAATCTTTTCTGTCTATATTTATTTCCTTTTTTTACCCTGTATTTTTTTTTAAGATTTATTTATTTACTTGAAAGTCAGAATTACACAGAGAGAGGAGATGCAGAGAGAGAGAGAAGGAGAGAGGGGGGTCTTCCATCCGCTGGTTCACTCCCCAATTAGCCGCAATGGCCAGAGCTGTGGTGATCCGAAGCCAGGAGCCAGGAGCTTCTTCTGGGTCTCCCACGTGGGTGCAGAAGCCCAAGGACTTGAGCCATCCTCTACTGCTTTCCCAGGCCACAGCAGAGAGCTGGATTGGAGGTGAAGCAGCTGAGACTTGAACTGGTGCCCATAGGGGATGCCGGCACTCCAGGTGGTGGCTTTACCCACTATGCCACAGCACTGCCCCCTACCCTGTATTTTTTTACACCTTCTTTTTACTTATCTAATTAATGCTTTCAAGTGAGCAGCTTTTGATTCTGTTCTCTAACTTGTTGATTTCTGCCCTTGTCATTATCATTTTCTCCCGTCTTGTTTCTCTATTAGCCTTGTCAGTGTCTTGGATTTTTAGCTCATGTATTTTTTTTCATACTAGCCACCTCCAAGAGTAATCACTATTGCTGATTCTTAATAGCATAGATTAGCTTTGTCTGATTTTGTATTTCATAAAAACAGAACCCTAGAGTACATATCTTGTTGTGTCTGGTTTGTGTTGCTCAACTTAAGGTCTGTGAAACCCATTCATATTTTGTATACAGTTGTATATTTTCCACTTATATCATTTTCAACACTGAATTGGGAGAATCTAACACCATTTACCTTTTTCCATTCTATGGCTGTCAAGTATTTAGGTAGTTTTCAGTTCGGAATAATTACAGAATGTGCTGCAGTTGATAACTTTTTTGATGAATATATGTACTTATTTCTGCTTGGCATATGTCAAAAGAATGAAATTCCTGGGTGTGCGTCTTTTCAACTTTAGTGGATACTGCCAGGCAAGTTTCTGGAGTGATTGTACATTTACACACTCCGCCGTGGGCTGAGGGCTCCCGTTGCTCTGTATCTTAAGACGCACCTGATGTTTTCTGTTCTTCATGGTCTCTGTTCTGGTGAGTTTGTGGTGGCATCTGGCTGCGTTTTCATTGGTATTGCCCTGGTGATTAATGAAGTTGAGCAACTTTTTCTCCATCTCTTGGCCACCTGAATATCCTCTGTATTTACGGATGACTTCTCTTTACTTCTGGATACATGCATTTAGGAGAACCCTTTAGCTGTGCCCCACAAGTGGATCCGCCTCAACCCACACCTGTTTCTTCTCATGAGGAGTCCCGTGAGAAGGAAAAGCATGGCTCTACTTTATAGGAGGTTCCTCACCTGTAAATGCACCACCCACAAGCAAAACGCAGTGACACTGTAGTCCCTCTCAAGGGTAATTTTGAAAGGAAATTTTCCAGAGTGTTTTCAGGATAGAGAGGGGAACAGTCCAGTTGGGTGGACCCCAAGCAGGACAGCCCATTGTCTTGCTGTCTTCACCTACTGTCTTTTTTTTTTTTTTTTTTTTGACAGGCAGAGTGGACAGTGAGAGAGAGAAAGGTCTTCCTTTGCCATTGGTTCACCCCACAAATGGCCGCCGCGGCCTGCGTGCTGCAGCTGACGCATTGCGCCGATCCGAAGCCAGGAGCCAGGTGCTTCCTCCTGGTCTCCCATACAGGTGCAGGACCCAAGGACCTGGGCCATCCTCCACTGCCTTCCCGGGCCACAGCAGAGAGCTGGACTGGAAGAGGAGCAACCGGAACAGAATCCAGCACTCCAACTGGGACTAGAACCCAGGGTGCCGGTGCCGCAGGCAGAGGATTAGCCTAGTGAGCCGTGGCGCCAGACCTTCACCTACTATCTTGAAGGTGAGATGATGTGGTGCAGCAAACCCACCACCACACAGGCAGATCCTTGAGGAGAGATTTATCCTGAATCATGGTAGTGCCTATTGGTTTGGACACACAGTCAGACTTGGAAACAGTAAGACTGGTGGATTGGTGACCATGAGACTTAGGAAAGAGACTTTCTAAATTTCTTGTCTTAAAAACTTCTGACCCCAGTTCCCCCTCTATTTCTCTCCTTTACAACAAAATTTCTTTTTTAAAAAAAGATTTATTTTATGTATTTGAAAGACAGAGTTAGAGAGAGAGGTAGAGACAGAGAGAGGTCTTCCATCTGCTGGTTCACTCCCCAAATGGCTGCAATGGCTCAAGCTGAGCTGATTCGGAGCCAGTTGCTTCTTCCAGGTCTCCCACATGGGTGCAGGGGCCCAAGCACTTGGGCCATCCTCTACTGCTTTTTCAGGCCATAGCAGAGAGCTGGATCGGAAGAGGAGCAGCTGGGACTAGAACCGGCGCCCATATGGGATGCCGGTGTTTCAGGCCAGGGCTTTAACCCGCTGTGCCACAGCACCAGCTCCACAGCCATTCTGCTTGCATTTTTTAAAGCACACTTAAAGCCAGCTTAATACTTAAGCTTCTTTATAAATGTCAGGTGTAAGGGCCAGCATTGTGGTGTAGCAAGTAAAGCCACTGCCTGCGACTTCAACATCCCGTGTGGGAACCAGTTCATCTCCCATCTGCTCCACTTCAGTTCCAGCTTCCTAATAATGGCCTGGAAAAGCAGTGGAAGATAGTCCAAGTGCTTGGGCCTCTGCACCCATGTGGGAGACCCAGACGAAGCTCCTGGCTCCTAGCTTCTGCCTGGCCTAGCACTTCCCATTGCAGCCGTCTGGGGAGTGAACCAGCAGATGGATGATCTCTCTCTCTCTCTCTCTCTCTCTCTCTTTCTCTCTGTAACTCTTTCAAGATAAATAAAATCTTTTAATAAAAAAAGTCATGTGTATTTCCCCTTCTAATGATAACTTTAGATCCAAATCCTTTTTAAAAAGCTTTTTTAAATTTTATTTTTCATTAGTTTTTAACAGATTCAATGTGTTTTGTAGACACAATTCTAAGAACATAATATTCTTTTTCTCCTTCCCTTCCTTTCTCTCACTCCTACCCTCTTTCTTTCTCCCTTTCTTTTCTTTAGTTTTTGAAATAACATATTTTAAATTTACATTACAGTAAAAAGGCTAAATACTTCACCAAATTAAAAGTTTAACAAGCGAAAAGCAAAAAGTCCCCAGTTTAGTGGGAATATAGACAATGGCTATCTATAAACAATAACTGAATGGAAAAATGACCATGTCACACACACACACAGTACCTCTCCTTGGTGTCCAAGGCTCCATACTGCCAACTGCATATTAAAACCTTCCCAGGTCTCCTAAAACCTAGACTCATATATATCCACACAGCACCTTCCCACCTCCTCTGGGATGTCAAACATGTCCAAAGCCGACAGCCTGACATCCATCCAGCACACACGTACATCAAACCCAGACTTTCTGTGAGCCATTCCTTCTGAGTAAGCAGTGACGACTTTTTTTCCAGTAGCTGAAATACCTTGGAGTCAACCTTTCTTTTCCGCAAACCCCCATCTGACACTTCAGCAAATCCTGACAGCTTCACCATCCACAGCCTTGCTACCCTGTGGTCTGTGGCATCATAGTCACATGACTGAGTCACTCAGCACTCTCCTGCCTCCTTTCAGTACCACTCCAGTCTGTCCCATCACAGCAGCCAAGACGGCCAGGCAGACACGGGCAAGACCAGGTTGTTCCTCCATTCAAAACTCCCCACCGGTTTTCCAGATCATTCCTCAAAGAAGCCAAATTTCTGACAACGTCCTACAAAGCCTCACAAGGCTTGACCTCTGCCTCGCCTCCCTTTGCTGCTTCTCTTTGCTACTGTGCCTCTCGCTCAGTTGGCCTCACCTACTAACGAGGAACACGGACCCCTCATGGTCTTTCCACTTGCTGTTCCCTGTGTACAGCTTGCTTTCCCCGGATATTGGGAATATCTAACGTGCAATGTATTTTATGTATGTGTATCATTTATTTTGTGAGCTCCCCAAAGTTGACAGCTTGTAGTGTGTGTGTGTGCTTTGTCTACAGCATCTGGAATAGTGTTTGGCACATAGAAAGTGCTCGATAAATGCTTTTTGAAGAAATGAGTGCTGGCTGCCTCCCTCCATCCACTCTCCGTCCTGGGGAACTGATCTGTGTGGTGCTGTCTCTGGCCTTTGGCTGAATTTGTCCTCTGTGCACACCACTGGGAAAACAGGCTACAAAGGGCGTCACGATGTTGGCTAGTGTGCATTCGTTCTTCAATAAGGTTACTGCCGGGCACAGATGGCAGGAATGGAGGGAGGAACATATACGGAGCGTGGGTGTCTTTGGAGGAGGTAATAAGCACCTGCCTGTCTAGTGTCATAGTTCTAGAGAAGAACTTTGTTGGAGTTGAGCCAGGGTCAGGGTCAATGTTGCAGTGATAGTCTCTTACCACTTTGAACATTTTCATTTTTCCTCTCCACTGCTGTGGGTTTTGCTTGTTTGAAGCAAAGTGGAAAAAATTTCCCCAGTGACTGCTATTGCTTGTTGTCTTCGAAAACTTCCTCTCCTATCGGCTCGATAATTTTCAGTAACTGTCATCTCTTGTTAACAGTCCTTTTCAGTTCTTACATCTTGATGCTGCTCATTTGACAATTTCAGTCTTACATATAGCAAGGTCTCCCCCTAAGCCCCTTGTTCACCCCAGTTTGCTTGTGGCTTGGGTGGATGGAGGCAGTCTCACTTGTCACCCCTCCCCCCAACACACGCTCCTCTGATGATGGAAGGGGGAGGAGGGGTAGCAAAGGTCAAAACCTTCTGGGATTGCCATCAAGGGATTCCAGTCCTGTCTCGAGCTCCCTGTCTACTCTAGGGGGATGGTATGGAGACAAGGGGATAGTTTCTTTTTTCTTTTCTTTTTTTTTTTTTGTTTTTATTTGACAGGTAGAGTCATAGACAGTGAGAGAGAGAGAGAGACAGAGAGAAAAGTCTTCCTTCCCTTGGTTCACTCCCCAAATGGCCGCTACGGCCGGCACTGCGCTGATCTGAAGCCAGATGCCTCCTCCTGGTCTCCCATGCAGGTACAGGGGCCCAAGCACTTGGGCATCCTCCACTGCCCTCCCGGGCCACAGCAGAGAGCTGGCCTGGAAGAGGAGCAACCAGGACTAGAACCCGGTGCCCATATGGGATGCCAGCACTGCAGGCGGAGGATTAACCAAGTGAGCCACGGCGCCGGCCCCTCAACAAGGGGATAGTTTCAACAGGCTCCACAGCAGGCTTCCTCTCAAGCCATCCTCTCCCTTGACTAAATCCTAGCTGGGGTCCCCCAGGTCATTCCTCTGATCCCAATGCCCCAGTGCAGGGAGCTCTTGGGTTCAGAGGCATCGGCAGGACCCCCACGCCATTCCTCCTGCTAACATGCGAGAGAGGAGGCCTCACCTCCTGTCCTCCTTGCTGGCCTCAGCAGACCCTCCCTTCTTCATGTGTTTCTCCTGATCCCAAAGCACAGGGGCAGTCTCTTGGCAGTCCTCTGGCTACGAACACATTCCTTGGAGTGCCACCCGCCTGCTAAGCCTCAGCTTACAAGGGAAATGATGCAATATTCTTTAAAAGCAGGGGACAAGCAGCCAAGCGTGGGCTCAGGTAGGCATGCCCTCCTCTTGGAAAAGCCCGAGAGAGGGTCTCCTGACTCGCTCTCTGTTGACATGGAGCCTCGGGTCATCCTGTAATGCGTCACCCCTGTTGCTAAGCCTTTTTGCTGTTTGACTGTCTGCAGCACGGACAACCTGATCATCTCAAGTGTAGACCTCTGGGGAACAGGCCCAGCTCGGGGAAACAATCCAGGAAGGCACGTTAGCATCTGCTTCTGCTTTATGCCAAGACTCAAGGTGATACGCTATGCCTGAAAAATTATTGAACCCAGTCCCAACACATTATTCTACCTAAATCAGCCCCTGACAGGTAACAGAAGGCCTTCATCTCGATTCTTTCCCTAGTGATTCCACTGTGGGGGGAGACTGTTTATGCTCTGGCCAGAACGACTGATTTCCAACCTGTTCCCTCTGTCTTTGATACTGCACATTTACAACTGGACACCTGGAAGTGACTTTTATTCAAAATGATCTGCTAGATTCTAAATTAGATGGGAGGCTGCCCAAGAATATCTTTGAAATGGAGCATCATTAGGCTTGCTGTCCATGCTCCAGCTCTGTACTTCCGGGCATTCTCACAGATGACCTACGGAGCCCTCCAATGGCTACCCAAGCTCTTTTGGGCAGGCCCACTCAGAAGAATCTGCACCCCCTTAAGAGTGTGGCAGGACATTTGTCAACCAGGGTCCTTCCCAGTCTGTCTAAAGATTTCAGTAAGATTCTGGAATGTTTATAAAAGCCTTTGGATGGATATCTACTTTCTACTTAAATCTGTTCTGATCTGATGGAAATGGCTTGATGTCACTATTATTCTTAATTTTGAGGATTGCTCATTGTAATTAAAGATAGTGAATGTTTTGAGGTTATTGGCTTAACTTACCTCTGTGGAAATTTTAAAGTTGATTACTCTTAAATGATTCAGAAAAAAAGATGTCAGTGTGTATAAACCATATTTGCATATGCATGTGTGTCTATGCACTAATACACACACAGGTGGCCACATGCAGAGAGATAGGGATGTATAAAGCAAATGTAATAAATACAGAACATTTAGACAGCCATCATAAAGGGCATAGGACAACGCTGCTTAATATGATAGCAATTTCTCTGTCATTCTAAAATTATGTGAAAATAAAAAGTAGAAAAAATACACACATCCATATGTAAGCTTTGATTAAGACTGTTAAAAACCATGTCCCAATAACATTTGCAGTGATTATTGTTAGAATATCCAGCTCTCTGCTGTGGCCTGGGAGTGAGGTGGAGGATGGCCCAAGTGCTTGGGCCCTGCACCCACATGGGAGACCAGGAGAAGCACCTGGCTCCTGGCTTCGGATCAGCGTGGTGTGCCGGCCGCAGGGCTCCGGCCACAGCGGCCATTGGGGAGTGACCCAACAGAAAAAGGAAGACCTTTCTCTCTGTCTCTCTCTCTCACTGTCCACTCTACCTGTCAAAAAAAAAATAATAATATGAGATACAAAAAGTTTTATTTTCTCCTTTTATCTATTTTCCTAAATGTTCTGGGATGGGACATATTGCCTTTGCTCTGTAATAAGGACAAATGAACGTTGAGAGAATTCCCTGGTAGGAGGTGATACTAGAGACTTGATCTTGCTGCACATGAGCCACATGACAGTCAGTGCTCTTTGTGGGGAAGGGAACTTAGACACAGAGTTCTGAATGCGGGCTCCAGGTTCACCAGTTCTGAGTGGATAGAGGATGTTTCGCTCCGTGATCAAAGCAAGTGTTAAAAAGAAGGCCACTGGCTGGCACAGCGGCTCACTAGGCTAATCCTCTGCCTGCGGTGCCGGTACCCTGGGTTCTAGTCCCAGTTGGGGTGCCGGTTCTGTCCTGGTTGCTCCTCTTCCAGGCCAGCTCTCTGCTGTGGTCCGGGAGTGCAGTGGAGGATGGCCCAAGTGCTTGGGCCCTGCACCCGCATGGGAGACCAGGAGGAAGCACCTGGCTCCTAGCTTCGGATAGGTGTAGTGCGCCGGCCATAGCAGCCATTTGGGAGGTGAACCATGGGAAAAGGAAGACCTTTCTCTGTCTCTCTCTCTCACTGTCTAACTCTGCCTGTTGCATTCCCTTTAAAACTGCTGATATTTTCCTGGGTATCTTCTGATACCCTCCATACCCATTCTCTAGCTATCTCTGCTCTCTCTTCCTTCTTCCTCAGAAGACTGAACTTGTCAAAATGTTCTCACTGGATTTGGCCAATGGTGAGCAAGTAACAAAGAGTGACAGCTGGTGAATTTTCCTCTTGTTTCTGTCCTTGAAAGCTTGTTAAGATTTGCATCATTCCCTCAGTTACAACCCTGCACCTGCAAGGTGGCCCTCTGCACACAGCTCTAAGAGAGGGGCAATGGCAGCTCATATTATTTTTCTTTACCCCATGTTACTAGCTGCAGGATTCTGAATGATTCCTTGTGTGACCTCTGCTTGCATCATCTTGTTACCACCTCATCTCTTAATCCAATTTAAGCATGCCATGTTTTCTGTTAGGACCCTAAATGACACGGCAAGTCTTGTACCTTGTGGTTTTGAAGTACAATTCAGCAATTGTGTCTGACAGCCTTTACTAGGGGTCATTTCTCCATAGCCTCTTAATGAGCTTGGCCACAGATGACTCACAGAGGTGATTGTGCAGGTCTTTTGTTTTTTAAATTTTTAAAAATTTTTTTGGGGGCTGGCACTGTGGTGTAGTAAGCTAAGTCTCTGCCTGTGGCTCTGGCATCCCATATGGGCACCAGTTTGTGTCCTGGCTGCTCCTCTTCTAATCCAGCTCTCTGCTTATGGCCTGGGAAGGCAGTGGAAGATGGCCCAAGTGCTTGGGCCCCTGCAAGTGTGTGGGA